CAGCCTGGGCGACAGAGTGAGACCTCCATCTCAAAAAAAAAAAAAAAAAAAAAAAGATTAAATGAATTCAAACAAGTAGAGTTTAGATCAGACCCCAGTACACGGAAGGTACTCAAAAAAATGTGAACTGTCATCAGTAACAATGGGTGGAAACCCTTGGAGGTTTAGCTCAATGTCACTTGTATCAAGAATGAATTTCTCCTTCCTCTGGGCATAGAGGTTCTGTCATTGTGTGTGTCTTCGTTTTTTCCTAGCGTCTGTTTATGTAACCAACCGTGGGTATTTTTCCATGGCCTCATGATGGAAATTCAACAGGGGGCAGTCCCTGAGAGAACACCAGGCTACTACTGGGCGCTCAGAAAATGCGGCTGCCTGGGCCTGTGCTGGGTGCACGGGAGACCTCCCAGGTGCAGGCTACTGAGGCTGCTCTGCTGTGGTGACAACCCCCAAATCTCAGAGGCTTCAAACATCAAAGGTTTATTTATTTATATTGATTGACTGATTGATTGACTGATTGATTTTAGAGACGGAGTCTCACTCTGTTGCCCAGGCTGGAGTACAGTGGCGCGATCTCTGCTCACTGCAACCTCTGCCTTCCAGGCTCAAGCGATTCCCCCTGCCTCAGCCTCCCGAGTAACTGGGGTTACAGGTGCCTATCACCACACCCGGCTAATTTTTTTGTATTTTTAGTAGAGACGGGGTTTCACCATGTTGACCAGGCCGGTCTCGGAACTCCTGACCTCAAGTGATCCACCCGCTTCAGCCTCCCAAAGTGCTGGGTTTACAGGCGTGAGCTGCCGCGCCCAGCCCAAAAGTTTCTCTGTCCCACTGTGTGTCCCTTGCTGGTTGGTGAGGGCTCTACATCATGTTGTCCTCACTCAGGGACCCAGGCTGACAGAGCTGCCACTCTCTGGGGCACTGCCAGTCACTTGTGGCAAAGGGAAGGGGGTGTGGGAAATAGCTCACTGGCTCCTAAAGACTTCCGCCCAGGAGTGACAGGCATTCCCTGTGCACGTCCCAGTGGCCGAAGCGGATCAGGAGGGAAGGTGCAGCCCTGCCGTGGGCTCATAGCATCGGGAGACTGACGGCCAGCACAGGAGGCCGGCTCACCACTTCAAAAGACTGCTGGCCTCAAACCACTTACTGGCACCTCCTGGGAAGGAGGGCGGGTTGTGCACACGGTTGTGACTTTAGGCCGCTGCACTCAGCCCCCACCCAGACAGAGGCTCCAGGCCTCAGGCAACGGAAGTAGCAGCAGCAGCCCTGTTCATTGACAAACTGGGACCCTCCAAGGCTCGGTCCTCAGAGGCAGAGTGGACGCGCACTCTGGGAAGGGGACAGAGAGTTCCGGGGCCACGCCAAGCACAAGGCTGGACTGCCTGAGCCTGTCAGATGTCCATCCGGTTCCTAACCTGACATTCGCAGATGCCATCCACTGCATGGTGGGCAGGTGAGAAAGGCTGCCGCCCTGAGATCAGAGGGCCTGGCTCCTCCCAACAGACAGAGGACTCTGGTATACTCAGCCTACCCTTCTCTCTCAT